CTGCTCCTGTTCCAGCAGTACTGGGGGCTTTTCCCCCTCTCGGTCTGTGTGATCAGCCCAAGACCAAGGTGTGCCGCAGGCTGGTACCGCTCTGTGCACCGTGAAGCACCTTCAGCCAAGGTCAAGGTAAGAGCGAAGCAATTCTTCCAACAAAAGCCTGCTAGCGGAGAGGCAGAAAATTCTCCTTCCAAAGGAATGCATCTTTCTTCTCCCTTACCACTCTCCTGTTTCACCGCACCATAGAATGGTTTGGGTTGGAAGGGACCTTAAAAACGACGCAGTTCCATCCCCCTGTCCCAGGCAGGGACACCTTCCCCTCGGCCACGTTGCTTTGCTGTGCCCCCAGATCTGCCAGCTGAGCTGAGCAATCTCCACATGTTCCACACGTGATCCACACATGTTCCCGCAGAGAACATGACACAAGGAAAAGTCCTAAAGGTGCTGTTCATCCTAGCACATCAAATCTAGAATTTATTTCTTTCTCAAAGTGTCACACACATAAAACTAATTCTGCAGCCTACAACAGCACTGAAAGATCTTTTTCAGGAACAGATCTTGTTCGGGGAAGAAACCAGAACAAGGGAACACTGAAGTAGCCTTCAGTTCTTGGAGCAGATTTGGGAAGAAATGGAAGGAGGAGCAGGGCTGGCCTGGTGCCGCAGCTCTGCGTGCAGTGGGGACGGAGAAGCTGCAATTATCTGTCTTCTTGGCTGAGTCTTGAAAAATGAGGCACTTCTCTCACCGTGAAGCACCTTCAGCCAAGGTCAAGGTAAGAGCGAAGCAATTCTTCCAACAAAAGCCTGCTAGCGGAGAGGCAGAAAATTCTCCTTCCAAAGGAGTGCATCTTTCTTCTCCCTTACCACTCTCCTGTTTCACCGCACCATAGAATGGTTTGGGTTGGAAGGGACCTTAAAAACGTCAAGCGCGGCATAAAAGTTCCCCCCAGAAGTCCAAAGGCAGCTGTTTCCTTAGCAGAAGGAGGTCAGGAAGAGGCAAAGGCATCAGCTAAGTCTGGATAAAGAAAGAAATGGGCTAACCTGTTTTTCCCCCCCCTCCTAAACAGCCAATTTTGAAGCACTCTGCAGAGATCTGCCTGGGAGGAAAAGCAGAGCCAGCCACTGAAAACTGACACGGGAGCTCTGCTGAGGACTGCTGCTCCCCCTGCCTTGGTGGGGGCATTCCTTGGGTGGGAGTGTTTTTTCTCTCATCCAGCCAAGCCAGAGACCTCCAAGGTAAGGAGCAGGTAAGGTTTAAGTAACAAGATCTCCCAAGTAAGAAGTGACATGACAAAAGGAAATGGCCTCAGGTTGCACCAGGGAAGGCTTAGATTGGATTTTAGAAAAAACTTCTTCACTGAGAGGGTGGTCAGGCATTGGAGCAGGCTGCCCAGGGAAGTCCCCATCCCTGGAGACGTTGAAAGGATGTGTAGATGTGGTGTTTGGGGACCTGATCTGGGGGGCAGCTTGGCAGTGCTGGGGCAACTAGGTTGGGCTCGATGACCTTCGAAGGCTTTTGCAACCTGAAGGATCCTGTGGTTCTGAAAAGCCTCTCTTAGACCCCTCTGGCTGTAACACGGCACCTGGATGTTGACAAAATGAGGCTGGTCATTGACATTGGAGGTCCCTGTCCCACAGGGAGAGGACAAGCCACTGTCACCTGCGGAGAGGCTCTTGTCCCCAGAGAGCAGGCAGTGACTCCATCCCTGCCTGGGCCTCTGTGTGCACCCCCGGGGTGGACACCTGCCCTCATGGATTCCCTCTGGGCATCCGGGAAGAGAACCAGCTCCATCCATCTGACAGCTCCAGGGCTGGCAGGCTTTGGGGCTTTGCAGCTGCGGTGCCTTGTCCCAAGGTGGCAGGGACGTGACACTGCCTGGCCACGCTTCTGGCCTCTGACCGTCCTGCTGAAAGGAGGAGTCAGTGGGGTGTGCATCCTCCCCCAGCAGAGCTGAGAATAGCAGGGCCCGTGAGTGTGCTGTCTCTAAGCTACGGCTGCGCTTCTGCCGCGCAAAACCTGTCCTGCAATGTGCCGTGGAATTCCAGAGCAAGGGATGTTTAGGGCAGAAACGTGGAGGGGCTGACCTGCCAACTCCTATGGAAGTGGCTGCTCTCTGTGGAGTGACATCCTGTAAAATTGCTGTCACAGAATCTCTGTCCTTGTGGCTCTGCTCCAAAAGCAGCGGCATGGCCTCATTGTCAGCAACGTCTATTTCTGCAGTAGTGTAAAAATGCTATTTTAGTGCTCTTTGTTATTTCGAAAGGAAATATTTTGCATCTTTATAAGTGATAGCTAAATTGACAGCTGAAAGCTAGAAAGGGCAAATAGATATGACACTTCTCCCTCTTTGTACAGTGAGTTGTCGTTCAGAAATACGCTGGTGGGAGTGTGCTTTTGTGTGTTTTGTGACCTTTGCAGATTTCTTCTCCAGGTTCTTTTGAGTTCCTAGACTCAGGGAATAATTCAGGTTGGAAGGGACTCTTAAGATGACCTCATTGCAACCCTGCTGCCGCGGGCAGGGACATCTTTCCCTAGAGCAGCTTGCTTAGAGCCTCATCGCAGAGCAGCACTTGAACGCTTGCAGGGATGGGGCAGCCGCAGCATCTCTGAGCAACCTGTGGCAGCCAGGTGCCAGAGGAGGACGAAAGCCCTTGCCATTTGGAGCAGAGGCTGCTGCAGCTTCCTGTAGCCTTGTGTCACCGAGGGTGTGAGACAGAAAGGCCCTTCCCACCACGGAGGGATAACAGCACTGAAAGATCTTTTTCAGGAAAAGATCTTGTTTGGGGAAAAAACAGAGCAAGGGAACACTGAAGTAGCCTTGGGTCCTTGCAGCAGGTTTGGGAAGAAATGGAAGGAGGAGCAGGGCTGGCCTGGTGCCGCAGCTCTGCGTGCAGTGGGGACGGAGAAGCTGCAATTATCTGTCTTCTTGGCTGAGTCTTGAAAAATGAGGCACTTCTCTGGAGTTCCTTTTCAAGCGCGGCATAAAAGTTCCCCCCAGAAGTCCAAAGGCAGCTGTTTCCTTAGCAGAAGGAGGTCAGGAAGAGGCAAAGGCATCAGCTAAGTCTGGATAAAGAAAGAAATGGGCTAACCTGTTTTTCCCCCCCCTCCTAAACAGCCAATTTTGAAGCACTCTGCAGAGATCTGCCTGGGAGGAAAAGCAGAGCCAGCCACTGAAAACTGACACGGGAGCTCTGGTGAGGACTGCTGCTCCCCCTGCCTCGGTGGGGGAACTCCTGAGCTCCCATTCCTCGGGTGGGAGTGTTTCTCCTCTCATCCAGCCAAGCCAGAGACCTCCAAGGTAAGGAGCAGCTAAGGATTAAGTAACAACATCTCCCAAGTAAGAAGTGACATGACAAAAGGAAATGGCCTCAGGTTGCACCAGGGAAGGCTTAGATTGGATTTTAGGAAAGACTTCTTCACTGAGAGGGTGGTCAGGCATTGGAGCAGGCTGCCCAGGGAAGTCCCCATCCCTGGAGACGTTGAAAGGATGTGTAGATGTGGTGTTTAGGGACCTGATCTGGGGGGCAGCTTGGCAGTGCTGGGGCAACTAGGTTGGGCTCGATGACCTTCGAAGGCTTTTGCAACCTGAAGGATCCTGTGGTTCTGAAAAGCCTCTCTTAGACCCCTCTGGCTGTAACACGGCACCTGGATGTTGACAAAATGAGGCTGGTCATTGACATTGGAGGTCCCTGTCCCACAGGGAGAGGACAAGCCACTGTCACCTGCGGAGAGGCTCTTGTCCCCAGAGAGCAGGCAGTGACTCCATCCCTGCCTGGGCCTCTGTGTGCACCCCCGGGGTGGACACCTGCCCTCATGGATTCCCTCTGGGCATCCGGGAAGAGAACCAGCTCCATCCATCTGACAGCTCCAGGGCTGGCAGGCTTTGGGGCTTTGCAGCTGCACTGCCTTGTCCCAAGGTGGCAGGGACGTGACACTGCCTGGCCGCGCTTCTGGCCTCGGACCCTTGCTGCTTGCTTCCTTGTCCGCTATGGATTTATCAGCAATCTTCTGCCTTTTCTTTCAAACTGTCCTTGGGATAGTTCATAGAGAGGGTAATTTGTTATTTCAAAGCCTAAACATTTTACTTACTTGCACTGAAGAAAAAAACCAAAAACCTGCTTTGCGTCCTTCTGCCTGGAAGTCATTGTGACACAGGGAGGTGAGGGAGGGGCTGGCCTGGGTCAGCCTCTGCTGAGCCTCAGCTCTGGCTAGAATCTCTGTCCTTGTG